GAGGGGAGACTGAGATGAGCTCTTGGGCAGAAGCTGTTCCCTGTGAGGGTGCTGAGGCGCTGGCACAGGGTGCCCAGAGAAGCTGTGGCTGCCCCATCCCTGGCAGTGCTCAAGGGCAGGTTGGACACAGGGGCTTGGAGCAACCTGCTCCAGTGGAAGGTGTCCCTGCCCGGGGCAGGGGTTGGAGCTGGAGGAGCTTTAAGGTCTCTTCAACCAAAACCATTCCATGGTTCTATGGTTTTTAGGACATGGACTAATAATGTTGCAAGTACTAAGTGTTTGAGGTTGCTCACGCAATAACGTCCCCATGGGAGTGATGGGTTACTGGTGGCACATGTTACCCAGTTTGTGCAACTAGTGAGCTATCATTACACGAAATACACAGATTGCATTTCTGCTGCCAGGTAAGCAGCTATTTAGTCATCCAAAATACTGTCATCTACATATTCTGCATCCAAAAAGTCTGATTTTACTGGACATTTTGAGGACATCAGGATAAAACTTACAGTAAGTTTCCCCCTCTGTAATTCACACATAGCTTTGCTCTCAGCTCTCTGCCGCTCCTGAATTATGAAACTTTTGGGGTTTTTTTCAGCTGCTGGTTTTGCATTCTTGTGATGATACTCTGTTTCCCTTATGTGGTGTTCATCCGTGAGCTTAATTGTCTGCCTTTCATTGCCAACTCTGTGAACTCCTGAAGCTCATTTGAGAAGGAAAGTTCAGCCCAGTAATTTTGAAGAGATGAGGCATTATTGAGGGTTTTTCCTGGACCATGATTGCAATAAATGTCTCGTTTGGAAACGTGGCTTTGGGTTCTTTCCACTCCTTAAAGATGGAGAATTGGGTGAAACCACCCTAGGAAAGGGACCTGCTTCTCCTCTCCCCACCATGACTACTTGTTTTCCCCATGTTTTATGCGATAAGCCCACAAGAAACCCAGAAGGAGCAAGGATGCTGCCTCTTTAATGATATATATTAGCAGCATCTTGCTTCTGCAGGAGGCCAGTGGTGGATTTGAAGTCCATGAGAGGCTGGGGGGAGTTGCTCCTCAGTAGTCTTTCCCATGTTCTCAGATGTGCCATGTGCCCCTTGAGATCTGCATCAGCATCATGGGTTTTGATGAAAGAAAACCACCTCGCAGATGCAATGCATCTTTTTAGGCTAAAATAGCTGCTTTTAGGAGTGAAGGAAAGAAAAAAGTTGGACTGTTTCTCACCAAGGGGACATGGAGAGTCACTCCTGCCTGTGCTGTGGTGGCTGATAGACGAGGCTGAGCCTGGACAGCCTGAGCGGCTCAGTGATGCCCTCAAGGCCACTTCTTATGACACCTCATGTACAGCATTTAGGTCCCAAAATACCGTGTTTGAAAACTGGAGGTAAGGATGGGGTTGGTTGAATGTGAAACACCACCAGGCACAGGGCTGGGAGAGGAGAACAGGGTTGAGCTAAAAATACTACATGGTGCTTCAGATGAGTAGTCTATAAAACACTGGGTCTTTTGGTGTGTTCTGGATACTTTTTTAGTTTCTTTCTATTCGTCTGTTTTCTGCTTTGGGGATTTTTTTTACCCAGAGTTAAACATTATTAAAACATATATGTACAGAGGAGTAACATTATCTGAAGATCTGATAAATCGAGAAGTCTTAAATAGGGTCAAATGTGAGAAATGGGGTGGTCTAAGCTAAAACTGCCACCAAGGGGAAGAAAGACTTCCCATTTTGGGGAGAATGTAATATGTGAGTGACCAAAAGGTCTAGGGAGGTGGTAGAGGAATACACTTGAGAGAAAAGGATGAAGTTGTGCACCAGAGAATGAGGATAGTGTCAAGAGGGATTTTGTGGGAAGGAAAGTTTTTCATTGAATTAGCTTCTTATCAAGAGTCCCTAATTCCTGGAGCAGTCAAAAAAGGCTTGAGAAAGAAAATACAGGGAACAGTGTGTTGGGAGGGAGATGGTTTTGGTCAAATTGGCAGGTCTCTAGGCCAATTTTAGGGAAACTGTTAAAATGTGAATACAGTCTGCGTTCTTTTGGGAATGGTTTCCAAGGCCATTGTTGTTCCTTCTACCACAGTTCAAGCCATTTGCTGGGTTGGAATAGGGAGGACCTGGTATCCAAAACCTTCTAAGCACACCGTGAGGCTCAAGAGGCTTCCCTCCAAGGTGGAGAGGAGGGTTTATAGTGAATCCTTTGTGTGATATCTCTGGCTCAGCTCAGCTCACTCTTGCTTCTTGTGTCTGTGGAAAACATGTTTTTCCTCTGCAAGTGTAAGCCAAAATAGTTTAATTTTCAGAGAATATTATGAAGCTGGTTCAGATGCTTCATCTTCCTCAAAGGTATCAGTGAAATAGGGATAGAAACCTGGTTTGTGGTTTGTCCCCAGTGGTGAAGGAGCTGCATGAGGTTAGTGAGTATCTTCACCTTCAGATCTCAGTGATGTTCCCAGAGGTGAGTTGCTCTTATGGTCAGGATGGAGGTGATCAGGAGTTTTTGTGGCACTTACGTGGTTTTGAGAGATGAGGCACAGCAGGATTTAATGTATATCTATGTGTGGTCACACCAATGGCAGGATGGGAGTGGGACAACTGCTCTGTCATGGTTCTCCTGTGGCATCTCCAAAATTGAGAGGAGATGGGTGACAGCAGAATCCTGAGAAGCACCAGCTTCCAGGGCTGGGGGAGGAGCTCCATGGGAGCTCAGAGCTCCCTGTTTTACATCCTCTGAAGGAGGCTAGTGCTTAGCTTGATAAGAACTGTAATAATCTTCCCTGTTCTGGGTCTGACTTGTACATCACCAATTTCTGGCTCAAGGTCTTTCCTTCTCCAGGAGGAAACAGGTTTTGGGAGCACTGAGAAGACATCTGACATGGAAATGCTGGTTCCCAGATAGTTTGTGCTTCTGAGCAGCTTTCTTCAAGTGTCAGATTATTTGTAGGTTCAAACTTGATTGCAGGGAAAGGCTTGGATTTATATCCATCCAGATTTGTCCTTTGCAAGGGGATTTGGACCGTGGATGGTTGGACGAATGTGCCCAGCAAGCGTTGGGAGCTCCTCATCCAGTGCATCCCGATACTCAGTTAGGATAAAAAGTGTAATTCAGAGACAAAATCCATGGCATAAATCTGCCTAATCCTTGCAATGCATGTGCATCGTGACACGAAGGTATTTGGATGAATTATAGCTCCGTTGGGAAGGGTAGCACTATGTGGGAATGCTGCTGGGAACATCACGGAGGCTGAGTTTTCACTTAAGCCTCGAGCTTCAGCTTGTAGAAGTCAAGGAGCAAGTGAGGCCACAGCTCCTCAAGGGTTCATTGCAGACGTTTCATAAGCATAAGCTGAGGGCAGCTGGTTGTGTAATACCGTGGTACCATTAGCAGCCTGGTTGTGTAATGCCATAGTAGCTGCTTGATCATTAAATTAGCATCAGGTTTTCCTTTTAATTCCTTTATTTTCTGTAATAGGGGAGGTTGGTGTCTGGTGCCTTGCTCAGGTGATATTTGTTGTTGTGTGTTGTTTGTTTTCTGAATTCAGAATGAGATCTTTTGTTTTATTGTCTTGAAACAGTTCAAAGCAAGACCTTGTCCCTTCTCTGAAGTGTTTATAATCCAATTTCAGACATAAAACAAGACGGGTGTGGAGGAGGGAGGAATAGGCAGGGATGAAACGACAAGGTTTTCCATAGCCTAAGGGACCGGGGCGGTAGGCAGACATCTGAAAGCTTCAGCAGGTCGATGGCATTTGAGGATCCTCATGGGTTTGCTGCCTGGGTGGTGATGCTCAGATGTAGCCTGGCTTGGTAAAACAACCACCTACAACTGGAGCTCCTGGAGGAGCAGCTCAGGTCCCTGCTGCAGCACCCAGCAGGGGTGGTGGTGCCCATGGAGAGCAGAGGCTCAGAAACTTGTTCTATTTTTCCCAAACATATAGACCGATCTTATAAATTGCTTTAAGGTCAAGGATACTGTGTTCTGGGGAGACCCCCCCTGCAGCCCTGATCCAGCTCTGGGGAACAGCACAAGAGGGACGTGGAGCTGCTGGAGCGAGGCCAGAGGAGGCCCCGGAGCTGCTGCGAGGGCTGGAGCAGCTCTGCTCTGGAGCCAGGCTGAGAGAGCTGGGCTGGGGCAGCTGGAGAAGAGAAGGCTCCTCAAGGGGACACCTTAGAGCAGCTCCAGGGCCTAAAGGGGCTCCAGGAGACCTGGAGAGGGGCTTTGGACAAGGGATGGAGGGACAGGACAAGGGGAATGGCTTGAACCTGCCAGAGGGGAGACTGAGATGAGCTCTGAGGCAGAAGCTCTTCCCTGTGAGGGTGCTGAGGCGCTGGCACAGGGTGCCCAGAGAAGCTGTGGCTGCCCCATCCCTGGCAGTGTTCAAGGGCAGGTTGGACACAGGGGCTTGGAGCAACCTGCTCTAGTGGAAGGTGTCCCTGCCCGGGGCAGGGGTTGGAGCTGGAGGAGCTTTAAGGTCCCTTCCAACCCAACCCAAAGCATTCCATGATTCTATGGCTCTCTAACCCATACAAACACATTTTGCTGAAATTCCCTGATGTTTGTGGCTTTGCATCATTCTGCACCCGTGAACCAGCAGAAGAATTTCTGGCATTGTTTTTCCATAGTGCTTTTTGCTCACACTAGAAATTGGTTGTTTCAGTGCCCCCAGGGTTAAGTAAATCCGATGTTTGTCTGTGTCATGGCCCAGCAAAGAAGCTGGTTGCACATTTCTATACACCACATTTGCACAGTGATACTGGAAAATGGGTATAGAAGAGGTCTCAGATATTAGACCTGAACAGCTGGTTTTTTAACTAGTATTTTGAGTAAAAACTCTTCATCTTCTGATATTTGGATGGTATTTTGCTGGAGTGTTCCCCAGATCTGTTGGAGGAGCATGAGATACGCATCTGAAGTGCAGGATATTGCAAGTCAACAGTACATCGGGCACATCACGAGTTACTGGTTAATGGAAATCTTTATTATAACTTGGATGAATCGTTTCTATTTTCCAGGGTGCCCGAGAAACCTTTGAGAACTACTACAGGAAACAGAGAAGAAAACAAGCCCGATTGGTCCTGCAGCCTCCCTCAAACATGGTACGATGATCCCCTACTCACAGTGCCCAAACTTGCTCTGCTGAGTAACGGAGCGAAGCGTTATTTATCTCTGGGTTTGCTCTTGCTGGTGGGATGGTCTGTAATTCATTTCCAGTTGCTCTTGGCCACCTTTGGTTTCATCTTTGCTCACTTTTTCTTTGTTGCAGCACGAAACGTTAGACGGCTACAGGAAGTATTTTAATCAAATTGTAGGGTAGGTGTTCTTTTTATATATGTCCTCGCTAAATATGTGTGTGCTGTGTTGTTGAGGAGCCCAAAAAGAAAGAGAGGAGGGACTGTTGATGTCTTTCAGGGCCTGTAAAGGGAGCCAAAACAGGGGGGAAAATGTAGTTGGGACTTTTAGAGTGTGTTTTATAGCACCCATGAACTTTGCTGTGTCACTAGTGGGAGCATGTGGGAACCTGCCAGCTCTTGTACCAGCGAGGTCATTGCTGGGAATTTGAGGCTAAATAACCTCTGTGGACTATGTGCATCTACTTGCCCCACTAATGAGGTGAATAGGCCCCTGCCTTAATTATTCTTTCATATTGGATAATTATTCTTTGATTATTTTCCTGGTAAAGGAAGGTGATTCTCAAGCCTCTGTTTCTATGAGCTTCTTATTATTGTGCTCAGAGTCTTCCAAAAGCAGCTGAGCTGTAAGAGGAGGCAACCTAAGACCATTAATCCAACAGAGATAGGAGATGATGTTGAAATGTCTTCAGCTGACAACAGTAATTTCAACATCTAATTACAACCATCACAAGTGCAATGTGTGCTCCTCACCTCCTCACCCAGCTCCATGCTCCTGGGCTGGATTTCCCCATCAAAACTCAGCTTAGAGATTTTATCCATTGCTGTTTAAAATGTCCAATGCCACGCTCACTCCCTGGAAAATCCAGTTTCTTTTTGGCCAGGCTGTTTGATAACTGGAGATTGGGGTGAACTGATTGCCTTGAAATGGTTGTGAGCATGTGGGGTATCCTGGTGTGAGATGAGATTTTCCCTGTGGATAAAGTATTTTTCCCTGCAGTTAACTACTTGTAATGTGCTTGCTGCTGACTGGAGCAGAGTTTAATCAGTGGTTCTTGTTGAAATAACGGGGTGGGGAACGTAGAGAGGGGAAATTCTGCCTTTGGAGATACACAGAGTGGCATTACAAGGAGCAACTGTGGTTTAGGTCACTTTTATAACACGGCGAAACACCATATAAAATGTTCTGGTGTTAAAAATAGGTGGATAAAGTGTTTAGCATTAACTATATTTAATACTCTTACTGCAAATCTGAGCTTGCTCTGGGCATTTGTGGATGTGCAAATGCTGTATATCCCTCGCCTCCAGCGTTTGAAGATCTCTTTGGATGTCTCAGAACCTGGAACTTCTGATAACAGTGCCATTTTCTCCTCTCTGTCAGGTTTTTTGTAGTTGAAGATCACATCTTGCATACAACTCAGGGCTTGGTAAATAGAGCCTATATTGATGAGCTGTGGGAGATGGCGTTATCAAAAACTATTGCAGCACTAAGAACACATTCAGTAAGTAAAAGCCTCGGGTTGCTCAGCTGTTGCTTGAGTATGACTTGACATGCTGGAAATACTGGCTTTTACAGTAGGATTCTTTGTTTTGCCTCTTTTCCAATGATCCTGCTTAAAACAATAATGTGAAGAACACTGCTGTTTTATAGAATCACAGAGTGGTTTGGGTTGGAAAGGACCTTAAAGCTCCTCCAGTTCCAACCCCTGCCCCGGGCAGGGACACCTTCCACTAGAGCAGGTTGCTCCAAGCCCCTGTGTCCAACCTGGCCTTGAACACTGCCAGGGATG